GTCTGCGTCCAGTTTGGGAGCCTTGTCGGTCCTCATTTCTTCTTCTGATTCACTGAGCTCTGATTTTCCTCCTTCTAAGGTATCCTTCTTTTCATCCTTTTCACTTTCCTTACTTACTTTTTGCCCTGTCTCATCCTTTGTAGTTGTCCAGGTAAATGTGGGTAATTTTAACTTTGGCAGTTTGAACTTGCTTTCTTTTCCCTCTGTATCCTTTTCTCCTGTCTTCACTTCAGTGTCCCTGTGTAAGGTTTTATCACTTGTGGACATGACCTCTTCTGTTTGTTCCTTTTTTACAACATCTACCAACTCAGCCCTGCTTTCTTCTCTATGCATTTTAATGTCAAATTTATATGTTTTGGCCATTTTGAATGGTGACATTGGTATTTTCCAGGTAGAGACATCTGAATCTCCATGAGGCATGTGAGATTTCACATCCAAAGTGTAGCCATCCTCTGAAGCTGTATCAGAGGATATTTCTGGTACTGAATGTGGAACATCACTTCCTGCTTTGGTGTTTTCCGTCACTGGCTCTTTTCTTTTCAGCATTGAAATCCCAAATTTTGTTTTCTGAATTGTTAGTATTCTTGTGTTTTCTTCTCCTTCTTTTTCTCCTGTTTCCAGTATGTGCGATGTTGTGTGTAGTTCTGCTTTTGCAGTGCCTATTTCTAGACCTTTTACCTGTATAGATCCTTGTGTTTTTTGACCCATCATTTCTATGCTAATTCCACTTTCTCCTTCTATCTTATCTGCTGTTCCTTTCTGTTTCTTTTTTTGGGCTTTTGATGAGGTTTGTGATGTTTGTTTAGTTGGGCTTTCTTTCACATCATGGTTTTCTACACTGTGTTTTGATATCTGTGTTTTTATAGCTGGTACTTCAGGTACAGTAAATTTTGACACTGATTCCTTGTCTTTTTCTTTTTTAATGTTTATTTCAGCTTCAGGGAATTTTTTTGCTTGAGATGGAATGCCATTTTTCATATCTTTTAAGTCTTCTGTTAAAGTTTCATGTACCTCTCCTGGTTTCATTTCATAATCAGGAGATGTAGTATATTCAACACTTAGTATTTCGGGATTTTCCAGGCTGATATCTCCATGTATTTTTTCTCTTTCAGATAAAAGTGTTGTTTTTATTTCTCTTTTTTGCTTGTCTTGTGTTTCTGCTTTGGATCTGTGCATTTTGAATCCAATGCTAGGGAACTTGAGTTTCTTTTGGCTTCCTTTTTTTTCTTTGATATGGACTTCTTGTTGAAACTGAGACTCAGTGTCTGTGCTTGTAGGGGAAATATCCTGTATAGCAGGCTCATATGCATCTGATGTACTATGAGATCTTCTGTGCCCCAGTATCTTTTTATTTTTAATTGACTGGAATTTTGGCCAAGACAATCTGTCTTTTTTAGATCTCTTGCTTCTTCCTACCCTTTGGCTTACAATTAATGTCTCCCTGTCTTCTTCTGAAATAGCTTTTCCTGAAACATGTAGTGTTTCTTCAGGAATGCTCTCACTGAGTTCTTTTTCCTGAAGGAACAAATATTAGTCAGAAGATTAAAAATACATGAAATATAGATGCAACACAAAATGAAATATGTTCTATACAATAAGTAGAAAATTGTGCTTTTTATTCACATTATCCAGTTGTTATATAAAAAAATCCTGAAAATGGTGTATATAATTCAGGCAGAAATTACATACAGCCATTGGAATATATGACCATAATGTGTGGATTTCTGAATGTTTATGTTCTTTGCAAAACACTGTCATAAATAGATGCTTCTATATATATTTTTCTCTACATATGTCTGTACAAATGTATATATAATATTTATATAGTGGTATATGAAGAGAAAAATAATTTTGAATGTGTTGGAAACCTATGAGCAGATCATGCCTGTGGAGATATCTGTTATTAAATACATATTTTAAAGAGAAAATGTCATTGATGAGCTTTTCAGAAAACTATTTACTGATATTTTACTTTTTGGAAAATACTGAATATAAATATTACAGAGCTTATCTGAGCCTGTTCTATCTGTGGACACTTAACAACAAAAAAAGTACTGACTCACTACAGAAGGACGTTTTTCTACCCTAAAGCAAGAAGGTGGCTTTATCCCAAATCCATAGTCTTGTCCAGGATATTTATAAAACTTTAAATATTATTTGGGATTTTTTTTCTTCTCATGAATATTAATGCCAATATGTTTAAACACATGTCTATGTCTTGAGTAGACACAACTGTTTATTTTCTTTTGTGCTTCTCCCAGCACATTACTATCATCCAAAACTTTGTAAACTAATCAAATAACTACCTGGCTTAATCTTTCCTTTTTGTACTGTGCTGCAGAGTCAATGTGTTCTAGCTCTTCTTTCACAGCAATTTTTCTTTTCAAGCTGAATTGGATTCTGTATGGCTCTGAATATTGGAGGATCTTGAGTGCATCTTCATATTTGATATTATCGAAAAATATTGTAGCACTTAGAAGCTGATCACCTGTAAGCAGAATCAGACATCATTCTAATTAGTTTCTGTTTTCTTGCGGTTTTCCAAATTCTGTTGAATTAATGACAAAAAAAAAAAAAAGAATTACATCCTACTTTTTTAAAATATAAAATGATGTTCACATAATAGAATCCCAGAAGAGTGAAGGCTGGAAAGGACCATTGGAGATCATCTAGTCCAACTGCCCTTCTCAGGGAAGGGTCAGCTACAGCCAGTGTCCAGGTCTATGTGCAGTCAGGTTTCAAATATTTCCAAGGATGCTGACTCCACAATCTCCCTGGAAAACCTGTTCCAGTGTCTGATGACCCTGACAGTAACAAAGGTTTTTCTTGCATATTTCAGTATTCCATCTCTGCACTTTTGTTCTTGTTTAAATAATTATTTATTGTAGTTTTGTGGCATACTATTTTGTGAAAGAATCAAAGGCAGCTTCTTCATGAATGATATGAGCTGGGGTGTTTTTTTAATTTTAGCTGTGTATATGCTACTTTCCATGTATCTTTTTCAATGTTCCAGTGAAAATTAGATAATTTTTTAATTATATTAAAAAAAACAACGAAAACAAAACAAACAAACAAAACGCAAACACATTTAATTATTGTTTAAGAAACTGATCTTGGAAATTATTAATAGGGAAAGGTTAAGTTCACACATAATATTGGCTGGTTTGGGATCTATTATTTCTACTACCTAAAGAGATGACACATCAGGTATGTATCTACATGCACACACTGCTACATATTTGATTATTTTAAGTTATATTAAAAAAAAAAAATCAAAACCCAAACAAGAACAAAACCAGAAAATCAGACTGTACCTTCTCTCAGACTAAATATTTTTGAAGCAGGAGATTCCTTAAGTACTTTTGTAACAAATATTCCTTCATTTCCTCCACCAGTCACACTAAAACCACTAGCACCAGCTTCCACTTCTGTTTTCAGGGTCACTTCCATTGTTTCCTAGATACAGAAAAAAGTGTGAATTTATAATTTGTATTTATGTGTACCAAAGTGTTCTGCCTTATCCTCCAGTAAAAAATTGTGTATATTTTGTGTGTATCCTCAGGTATATTTTCAGTAGCTCAAGAAAGATTACCCAAAATAGAGAGTGTACTTGTTCAGTGTGGGTTTCTATTCTAAATTAAAATTAAGCCATGTGTGAGAGTTATGCTGGGTCAGGGCCATAGGGAAAATAGTTTGTAATTTTAAAATACGAAACATACGGAAACTTTTAGGGCTGAAAGTCTGTATTTTCTGTGAAGATGTTAAGCACCTGAATTAGAATCAATGGGCCACAAAAGTCAGACTAGGAGCTAATGCTGTACCGTAGTCGAACTGGAGAAGGCTAAAGACTGCTAAATGGAATTATGGAAGAACCCCAAATAGGACAAGTGTTCATGCCTGTGCCACAACTAGGCAATTTGTGAAGTTCCCGGTCAAAACAAGTCTAAAGTGACTCTGCATCTTGGCCTTCCCTCTGTCCACCCATCCATGTCTGTGTGTTGTAATGGACTATTTTGCAAACCACACACCTGAAACTACTGAGTGCTTTTAGACTGACCTGTGGATGATTCTGTTTGGATTTGTCTGTAGAAGATTTTTTGTTTTCTTCTTGAAGCTGAAAAATAATTTGCAATTATTTACTATTCAGAAGGCATGCTGTTGTAAAGTACAACAGAAGTCCTACATCAGCTAAAATGCCTGGTTTAGACTAAGCGCTGGGGCTGACTGGCAACAGAGCAAAACTGGGATCTACAAGTGCGATGTACTATGTGAATGATTTAACTGTATTATTTCCAGTAGTAAATTAGATGCCAGGGCCTCCCTGCATTGTATCAAAATTTACATTAAATGAACACCAGAGACCAAATGCATCAAGATATTGGTAGCTTTTCTGTGTGTTACTCATGTGGCACATTTCTCATGCTTTCATCTTTTTGAATATGTATTTTTTTTCCATTTATTCAACTTCAGCATGAATTTCAACCTATTGTCTACTTGTTCTAATATGACTGTGCTAAGTCTTTATTTTTGAATAAGCAAGAAATTCAGGTAATTTCAAAATACCTATTAGTTAGATTCAAACCAGTCAAATATTCTAACAGGAAAAGCATTGTGATTTCTTGACCCTCTCTGCCCCAGGTCCTTCAAGGACTGAAGTCAAATGCATTTTTTGCCAGGGAACAAGAACATGGACCACAACAAGTCCAGTACAATACAAAACCATCAATGAACATGGCCCTGACTTTGGTGGGGACGTGAACACAATATGGCTGCAACAACATCCTGTTACATGGCATATGAGTCTCAGCTACTTGTAGAAGTTAAAGCCTCTTGAATGAACTTGGAAAAGTTGTTTCTGCATGAAAACTCAGTGTCTTGCCTTTAAATATTCTTCTTCTATGGAACATTCATAAACTGGAGAGGATCCCTGTGGCCTTGGACGGATGTCTTCTACTGCCACTTCATTAACCTGTGGAAAAGAAATGAGGGGTGGGAAAGGAACATCCACCATTAAACAGTGACCCATTATTTTAAGACAGTTTTTCTACTTAGGCATAGTGTCCTTGTGTGTACAAATCTTTCATTAGTAATGGTGAATGTAGAATAACCAATAACACTTTGCTTAGGTCAAGAAAAACTACAATTCTCATACAAGGACGTACTCAAGAACACAAGGGACAGACTCCTGAGTGACGAAAACAATGGTATGCTGGTTTTGGTTTTCTTTATGAATTGTATGCATCTATGGGCTGAACACACTGAAGATACCAACAGATCAATCAGTAATAATTGAAAAAGGCAATAAAAATTCCCTCCCCTGCTTTATTTGCACACGTAACATTTCCATCCTGTAGCTTTAAACTTTATTGCCCTCTATAACCAATCCTGAGTGACGAAAACAATGGTATGCTGGTTTTGGTTTTCTTTATGAATTGTATGCATCTATGGGCTGAACACACTGAAGATACCAACAGATCAATCAGTAATAATTGAAAAAGGCAATAAAAATTCCCTCCCCTGCTTTATTTGCACACGTAACATTTCCATCCTGTAGCTTTAAACTTTATTGCCCTCTATAACCAAGCAAACCATAGCAGGAATTTCTGCTGACAAGCCCTTGGCATGCTTCCTTACAGAGTCAAATGACAGGGAACCTAAACTGACTAAAGCGCTAAAGAAAAGTTACTGTAGGCACTGACTATGTAATAGTTTGCTAAGTCTTGGTACTAAACTTACGCTGGTGAATCATAGCAAAGAGCAGATCATTTTATAATGAAGTGTCATTCTGGCTTTTGAGCTGGCAGGAGTATTCCAAGCAGAAATACATTTTTGATGGGGAAAAAAGTCATCAGCAAGACCCAGCTATACACAAAATATTCAAGATCCCATTTTAACAAGTTGACTGCCAAACCTTCCTCCCAAAAACCCCCGACTGTAAAAAAACTCACAGAATCTTCGTCCTCTGCATCCGCATCAGCATCAGCATCTCCTGGAGGCTCGGCCGGTCTCAGCTGTCGTCCAGAACCTGAAAGCAGCACAGAGGTTGTTGGTGTGTGTGGGAGCCACGCAGAGCACAGAGCAGTCGGCTTGCATGCTGAAGGCCTCTGGAGCAGCACTTCCAGGGGACATGCATGGGCCAGCTGTAGAAAGGCCTTCTGTCATTTAGATTCCTTATCTTTGATCTCATCAGGCTGATCCTTCCAAAGATACCAGAAATATTTGTATACAGAAATGTCAAGGCTCTTGGGAAGGAAAAAAACCCAGATTGGAGAAAATGTAGAAGTTGGTCAGATGGGTTTTTTTAATTACCAAGAGGGGTTTGGGGGTGTATACTGAGCAGCAGGGTTTGGCAGCAGGGGGGCTATGGGGTAGTGTCTATGGAGGAGGTCACAGACCACCCTGTGTTGGATGCAGCCAGTTGCAGCCAGCTCCGCCTGCAATACTGAACCAGTTGGAGGAGTTCCTGTCACCTCTGTGAAAACGTGTTTAAGAAAGGGGGGTAAACACTGAGAAAAACAAACAACATCACTAGAGGCGGAGGAGAAAGGGAAGACCACCCCAGAGCAGGAGAAATGCTGGAGCAAAATAGGATCTCAGGAGGGGTCGGAGGAAGAAAAGTCGCCTCAGCAGGGGCAGAGGGGAGGAGGCTCAACTCTGACGGGTTGGCGGCTGGTGGAGGAACCCACCGTGGGACAATCGAGTATCAGACAAGGGGTGGAAAAGAAAAGCAGCCATCATCTGCTGACCCCCACCTCCTGCAACACCGCTCGCCTTCCCAAAGGGACTGGGTACAGCCCACAGTGAGGAGATGGGAGTCCAGAAAGAGGGAACAGAACTGTATGGAGGAGATCTGAGGTATTTTTCTCAAAGTGGTTTTATTCCTTTTTAAATATCAGATTCAGTAATTATAAGTTCATTAACTGGCAAAAAATTAAATTAATTTAAATTCCCCATCTCAAAACCCTTCCTTGGCTGTGGCAGAGGTCTTAAGACAGGAGCCGGAGAGTAATCATCATGAAGCTTTGATAGTCACAAAGGCTCTGCTTCCTTAGCTTTTAAAAGTATTGAGGGCAGAGAGACATGAGGTGAAGGAGACGGACTATTTGAAAGTATGATTCTGTTGAAATGCTTTAAATTGGGCACTGAAGAATGAGAACAGCATGAATACATCGTGTTCAGCGATCTGGGCTTAGCCAGTAGAGGACAGTGTGGCTGAATTACACATTCCCTGATGCGCAGGCTATTCTACATGCACTAGTCCCAATAACGATGTCTCTTTCCTGTCTCCATGCTCCATTTCTTTTTATGAAGCCACCAGGCTGTCTAGCTCTCACACATCCAGTTCTGCAACTGCCATTAGTACATATTTTTGGCTCTCCTAAACAGATCCCCTGGCTTAAAAATATGCTTGAACACTAGAAAAGACAACCACAAGCAGAACTGTGTAGCTCATTCATTGTCTACTTTAAATGAAGAATCCTTGGGCTGGAACAAAACATTTCTGGATGAGGATATTACATGCTGTGTGTGCAGACAAGCTGGCACGACTTATGCCTGTATGCAGTCACGCTAATTTACGCAAATTGCCAAGCTCTTGTTAAAATGACAGTGATTTTTCTAGCCTTTCTTCTAGTTTCCTGATGCCCTACATTATTTTTTTACCTGACTTTTTTGAAGCTGAAATTACTTCGTACAGGCAGGGTTTTAAAAGAGTTATGCCACGTGATCAGTGGTGGACCACTTTGTTAAGATGAATGGTAATGGTGTGCTTCCAGTGGGAATATCCCATGTCAGTCTGTGGGCCAAATTTCCAAACTTGATAGAATAGAAGGCATCCTCATTAGCCATATATACATCATCTTAATCAGCTCTGCTGTGGTATTTTCACTCCAGAGATGTAGGATCAACTCAGAACACATCAGAGCTGCCAGACTATACCTCCTTTAGCCTCCACAGGACTCGTCCTGACACCTATGATGAACAATTCTAGAAATGGTCTTAATGCAAACCCTAATTCAGATTAAAGACTGGCATAAATTGGCTTGCTATTTTTCCCAAAGCTCTAGCATTTACAATTTTCAGAAGGTCAGAAAAACTGGAAAATGAGCATAACCTTGTTAAAAAATTGAGATGTGGAATTATGAACCTGAATTCAGTCATTTATGCTTGAAAATTCTGGAATCGAATCATGAAGCTCTTCACTACATGTATTTTAATAAGTATCATATGAGGAGAAGAGTTGCAGGACTGTCTGCTTAGCGCTTCTGAAGATTCAGATGCCAACAGTGAATTTTATGTCTATTACTAAAATTACAAGAAATAGGAAGGATTTAGGCTTGTGGCATTGCCGTATTTTTCACTTGGGAGAATCCCACCCACAAGCCCTGCTGCCCTGTAGAATGACTTAACAGAATATTGCTTGGATTGCTGGAGTGTTTGCTCTTCAGTGCCACACTTTAAGGTTAATTACAGCATTGATCCCTGCGGCTCTCAATATTTTGCTACTGCAAAAGAAAAATGAAATCATTATCTGGGGGAATTCTTGGGCTAGTTCACTGCTGTTTCTCTTATTTTACTCTGGTTTAACTTCAGTGACATTTTAGTTGTCTAGAACTGGAGCAATGCAAGTATGGGATGCTCTGTTCTCAGGACTTGAACGGTCCTGTATAGTTTTTGCAGTGGATTTATCATCATCCAGAGAAGGTGACTCTGAGTCCAGGGTGGAGCTATCCTACAGGTTCTAACAGAGGTAAATATTTTAAAATCAGGTGTTTTAAACAAGTCATACTTAGAATGATTAGGTGACCAATACCTCCAAAAATCTCAGTGTTGCTAAGAACAGGCTACTCAAAAATCCAGGAGAATTAGATCACTTCCCACAGTAAGACCTGAAAGCTTATTTCCCATTGGGATGTCATTTTAAACAACAAATGACGCTGCCAGGTCTTGTTCAGTGGGAATGTAGAGAGGTAGACCTGGCCTGGATGACATCTCATCTGGGCCTCAACCACACGTTTCTTATTTTTCACCAGCTGTTGGTCAAGCAAAGCAGAGGTGTATGGGGCACAAGCGTGGCTTCGCGTGCTTGGCCAAGTATTGGCAGGCGATTGCTCTCCCTGTCCCTGCTGGTACCTGTCCCCCGGTAATAAAAAAATCCTTCTGTTAATAAGCAAATCTGTTCCCTCTTTCACCTACCTCACGATGGGCAGGAAGAGAAAGACTCCAACTGTGGAAGTCTTTAGAAAACTGCTACATTTCCTAGATGGTGATAGTAGGACTTTTTCCTACAAAATGGAGCAACAGACGACTGTCCCCAGGGCTAACACAGATGTGGCTGAGTTTGCATGTTGGGACATCAGCTACACAAATGACCTCCTTTCCCAAAGCTTCACACCGAGGCCTTTTCATCCATCCTGTTTCCCCAAACGCTGCCTACTTGTATATTAATTCTACCTTCTGCCATAGTTAACGTATGCCATAAAGTAGGTTTCTTGTGACCCTGATTCCTACTGTAGACTAAAATTTGCTTCAGCTTTTTCTCAATTCAGAATATAGTAAAAACAAATCTATAAAAGAGGAGAAATACAGTACATTGATGATTTCCATTTTCAGCAAAGCCTTCTTTCTGTGTGTAAAAGATTGTGCCAATAAACTATGATTTATATGCATGTCATTCTCATGCCCAAAATAGTAGCGATGCCAACATTTTATAGGCTTTTTTTTTTAATAAACTCCGGACAATCAATGCTTTGTTCAAAATGTTTTCATAAACAAGATGGAATTTACATCAGTGACTACTTCTAATAGCCACTGAACTGACTTCAGAACAAGGGAATTTTTTGAAAGTAGGCAGTAGGAGTTATATAGGCTGGAAAATTGTATCACAAGACTGAAAACTCCATTTGCTGTTTCAAATGCAATTTAAAACAAAACCAAACAAACACCCCACCTTCTCCACCCCCCCCCCACCCTCCCACCCCCAATTTTTCTTTAATCTAGCAACCCAGCTGGATTGGTTTGGGTAAGTCCACAAAAAAGTAAAACCAGGCTACTTTTTTTGAATTCACATTCAGTAGGTAATGGTCTCCAAAACCGCATTTGAGACACTATAATCAATTTAAGGTACGACAGTGTCATTGAATTCAAGTCAATTGTGCTTTCATGTATTGTATAAACTGAAGAGAAACTTAGTTTTAATTGGGAAACTGACATATAAAATTACCATAATCTGTATACTTTAAAATCAAGCAAAACAGCAAATGAGAATATTGGAAGTGGTGTTAAAAAAAAAAAAGAAACAATAATGTCATTTGCTGACCATACTAGCTTCCTTGTTTACAAATTCTATCCCTTTCTCTGCAATTCTTAGATTTGGGCTTTCTGCCTTTTAAGATTTTATACTACAGTTATGTTTGGATATGAATGTAGTGAATTTAAGTATTCTGCTCTTATCTTTGAGCATATAATTTTTCCTTGCATCAACCTCTTAGGCATTATCTTTCCTGTTAAAAGTGGCTTGGTTTTGATTAATTTATTTATTTTTCCATTTTCTGTTGGAGAAAACTAAAATGCTACTGTTGTGGTTTCTTCCCTGGGATTTTAATATAGATCAGTAAAAACTGACAAGAGTAGCAATGGTTGCAATACACATATTTTTTAGAAAGATGCAGGTTAAATATTGCTCATTCTCAGGTAACATCCTCACCAGGAGAAGAGGTTCCTTCTTGCCATGTACTGACTGGCATGAATTATCTATTTTCACCTCAACAAATAGTTTCTCCTAACAGAAATCTGATTTGTGGTAAACATCTGTCCACAGGTGAAAACCTGTATGCTTTGCTCACTCAATTAATGAGTGAGCAATAATAATTAATATTAGTTGTTAATATATGACGGTCATAACCTGTGTCTTTTCTTTACTCAGAGTTTGGTGTATGCTAGTCACCATTTCTTTGCTATGATGAGAAACGAGCAGCCCTGTTTGTGCAGTGTTGTGGAAGTGAATAGCTTTGAGTCCACTGACAG